AAATCACAGACAGACAGAGAGAAGTGTGCTCCAAACTCCCATCTGCGTCCTGGTTCATCTCCTTGGCAAGTCTGCAGGGGATGCTGAAGTTGTTTTATCTTTCAGCAGGGGGATCTTGTTCAAAAGTGGGCATTTATATATTAATTATTAGTCATATGATGCTAATGTCAATTGCTAAAGATGATCCTTGTATTTTTCTTGAGTAGTAGGAAGTATTAGTCAATGAATAAAAAAACCTTGGAATGTAATTTATATTCTGTATCTATTTCTAGATGTCTCATCATCTGCCTTCCTCAACAAAGGCTAAGAATTATTAAAATAATTATTAAAAGAACGAAATAATCTTTCCCTGTTTCCCTCAAAACAGCCAAGAGTTTTGAGTGGCAATGAAATGGAAAGCACAGAAGCCATTCACATACCTCATTGCAGTTTCTGTGGGGAATTTTATTGGATGAATATCTGACAAAAATGCTTTGGAGATTTGTCCTCCTTTTATCTGTCTCCTGTGAAAGAGCAGAACATTATTTTACTTCCCGTGGTGATACACTGCCACATAAATTATTACTGCAGTGTCTCTCTCTGCTGGCATGTTCCTCACTGCTATGGAGTACCAAGCAGGCAAAGCAGATTATATTTGTCACAAAATCTCACCAGTCTGCAGCAAGAGGCACTTACTGGTACACAGGCTTAGTATAATTAGAGGAGTAGCTAAAAAGCTGCATTACATGGGGACTTTTAAACACAAATGTACATTACATGAGAAATGGAGCTGCTGCAATTGCTTTTCTAAGAAATTCTGATACCTCATTTCACATATGCATAATATTTGGGCAGAGCAGGAATATCTCGTGGCTGCAGAAGATCTGTGGCTACAGATGTTATAATGTGGGTGATAATGAAAATTGTTTAGGGAGCTGCAGTTTCTGTACCACACACGAGAGGGCTATGGCAGCAAATCCCCCAGGTGTGCCTCTTTCTTAAGGATGCACCCAAGTTGCATTTCCTGTCTTCCTCACAGCCATGTGACCTGGGAATTTGTTTAAATTTACCTCACGTGCCAGACAACTTTACCAAGCTTTAATGGCTTGTTTGAAATGATGAACTGGGCCAGTTTCATCCATTGATCAAGTACCAAGGAGCTGGCTGTGCTGGTTGCTTCTGGTATGCCCCTTCTGCAATTCCCTTTGAATTCAGTGTCATGTGCTGACACTCCATGGGGTTCTTTTGGCAGATCAGGTAATAGTGAGTAAGAGTCAGGACACTGTGTCTGGTAGTCTCTCATCAGAGATAAACTGTGACTGGTCAGTCTTTTTTAAAGTTCATTGTAGGTTGTGACTCTTCAAAACTGGATGTGTATGAGTGCATGATGAAAATATTAAATCTGAGAAGGAATAGCCAAGCCTCAGATCAACCATCAATAGTTACTAATTTCCAAGGGCAGTGAATCTGAAAATTGTAATAGAGTATATTGTCTAACAGCTTTTCCCTTTCAAGCCACAGGGGAAGTAGTTGTGGTAAGTTTAAAAGAACAATAAACTCCAGAATCCCATTAGCTTTACTGGAAGGCTGAATGGTAAAACTGCATTTGAATTTAATTCTTTATTCAACAACAACAACAACAACAACAACAAAAACAGGAGAAAAAAAAAATTATATTTCCTGGAAAAGGATTGTGAATGAAATTAGGTGTGTTGATTGTGTTGTTGCCATGGCAGCAATTAATCACAGTCTTTGTCACACTTGCACTGGCTGGCTTTCCTACAGTCAGGAGGGTAAACACTGTGGGAATCCCTCCCTCCTTCAGTTTACAAACAATCTCACTTCCAGTAATGCAGTCACCTCTTCACAAATACAGACAGGGCAGAGGATATGAAATAAAGAAACACTGGAGAAAGTTGAGGAATTCAGTGGGATTCTGCTGCACCTGACCAGCACAGGTTCAGAGCAGTTGAGAAGGAACTGCCCTAGACATGAATTTTACCCAGGAAAAGTCCTGGGAAGCAAAGCTGGTGATTCCCAGAGCACAATGCCCCCTGAATCCTCCAGCACCCAGGCAACCCTGCAAGCAGAACAGAGAGGGTAAAAGTTACTGACACAAGCTTTGCCATGCTCAGGCTGAAGAGACTGATAATTTTGCTGCATCACACTCTGGGGACTAATAATTGACTGCAACTTTGAGAGTATATTCTGAATTTGTTATTCTGAGCAGCAGATTGACTTTGGCAGATGCAGCCAACACCTTGTCTATGCAAAGCAAAGTGTTCCTTCTCCATAGAGCGAAGCCTAGATTAAAAATGTAAATCTTTAATGCTAAAGATCCTAATTTAACATTCAAAGACCTCAGGAAATTGAAACTGAGTCTCTAGAGAAACTAATTTGCACTACTGGCTTTTTCCTTTCATTATAAACATTTCCCTATGAATACCTGAAATTGTTTTGTTAACTGTGTTTTTAGTTTTCTGACTTTACAGGAATTATTTGTTCCCTAGCATAATAATATGTTTTAGGAATAAATGCCTGAAAAAATTATGGTGATGTGGAAATGAAACCTTTATGTTGAGTTGATTTACTCTTTATATAAATGTTTGTCATCAGTCTGGTGACAAAAAAAGGACCTGGGATTAGTATGTTCTAACTTAGGTTTACTGTAAAGTTAGTCTAGACAGAGTCTACAAGGACCTCCACACATCTTGATGGCTAAAATAGATTATTTAATACTGTTTCTAAAAATAAGCACATGTACAAACTTCGTGGGCCCCAAGATTAGAACAAAATCTCTCCAAGACACAGAGTACCACTGATAAGCATCTCATACCTGATTAACAGCTTGTACCCAACTGGGTTAAATGTTCCTCCAGTGCTATACCCTTTGCTTTCCCTTGGATTTAACTGGGAGCTGACAGTGGCAGATCATTGCAGGGGAGTGATGATTCAGGTGTATGAGTGCTCTGAATTTGTGCTCAGATTTATGAGAACTGATAAAACTTCTAAGACATGGTATTTGTGGGGCTAATTTAAACTTTCAAGTGACCCTGTAAATGTAGTTGGAAAAAAAGAGACAAGCTTGGGATCCCAGTGCCCCAAGGCCTGCTCATTTTGTCTCACTGCATTAGTTAGTTTAACAAAACATTTCACTTTGCTTCCTTCATTAACTTTGTATCACCCAAACATTGCAATTACAAGGAGGTAGCAGCTGCCTGACTTGTGGAACTACAGAGGCATTTTCACAGATTACAGATCCAACTTGGAGATGTGAGAAATAGATGGCTAGAGCTCAGAATGATGCTGTGGCTGCTTAACAGTGTATTCCTAAATATAGAGACTATTATATTCCCAGCCATATACAACTTCCAGTAGTTTTGATGCAGAGCAAAATGTGGTCTGTAGCGTTGATGGTTACTGTGTTTATTTAAATGCTCTCTCTCAAGGAAAATGTTCCTTTTAACTCATCCTACTGCTGAAGCCCTACTAGTTCACGATAGCTTGTTGCCATGGATGGGTAATGATGTCACACATTCTGCCCAGTGTCCATGCCAGAAAATAAATGAGAATGACTTTTTTAATTACTCAGAGTTACTTAGCAATTCCCTGGAAGGCCTGAAGTGAATTACAAGGAAAAAAACAAGATGCCCCGTTGACCCTACCTGCACAGTATCTTTATGCCAGTGAAGAGACACAGTAAAACACCAGAGTAAATCCTCTGTGGGTTTGAAAACAAGGTTCTATTACTGAAATACACTTTGTTACTCAACAGATTTCAGTGGGCTGAGGAGGAGCAGGAGGCTGGGTGAAGTGTGCCTTTAGGGCTCACACATGAATGCCTCAGTAACTATAGTTTCTGGAGAGGGACCATGTGTCCTTCCCTCCATCGGTGACATTCTAACAGGAACATGATCCCGAGCAGGGTGCAGACATCACTGCACCAGGTAGTAAATGCCACTCTACTGCCTTCTCTCAGACCCCGTTTCAAATTAGGTTAGAACTGGCCTTTTGAGGACGGCAGCTGGAAGGCACAGAACAAGAGGGAATCTCTTGTAAATATACCAGAAATGTTGCCAGAAAGCAGGAACACAAACTCTGTTTCTGCTCCCCAAACCTCGGCTCTGCTTCCTCCTCCCCTCACAGGCAGGGAGGGGAATTTGCTGTTTGGAATGCAGGAGCTTTCTCCCCTCCGAGGTGAGCCCATCCCGAGGCTGCCATGGGGATCCCGTGCCCGTGCTTTTGACACTCTGTCCCTTTCCGTGAGCAGCGCTGCACGCCCGACCCCGCGCTCCGCACCGCGGGGCTCGCCCGGGGCCGGGGCTGCCGGCCGGGGGGCGGCGGGGTCTCCGTGGGTCGGGCCGGGCCGGCGGCGGCCGCGGGGCGCCCGTTCCGGGGGGTTCCTCCCCCGGGGGGTGCCCGTTCTGCCTGCAGGGTGCCCGTTCCTCCCGTGGGGTGCCCGTTCCTCCCGTGGGGTGCCCGTTCTGCCCGCGGGGCGCCCGTTCCGGGGGGTTCCTCCCGCGGGGTGCCCGTTCTGCCCGCGGGGCGCCCGTTCCGGGGGGTTCCTGCCCCGGGGGGTGTCCGTTCCGCCCTTGGGGTGCGGGTTCCTCCCGTGGGGTGCCCGTTCTGCCCGCGGGGTGCCCGTTCCTCCCGTGGGGTGCCCGTTCCGCCCGTGGGGTGCCCGTTCTGCCTGCAGGGTGCCCGTTCCTCCCGTGGGGTGCCCGTTCCGCCCGTGGGGTGCCCGTTCTGCCTGCAGGGTGCCCGTTCCGCCCGTGGGGTGCCCGTTCCTCCCGCGGGGTGCCCGTTCCTCCTGCGGGGTGCCCGTTCCTCCCGTGGGGTGCCCGTTCCACCCGTGGGGTGCCCGTTCCTCCCGCGGGGTGCCCGTTCCTCCCGCGGGGTGCCCGTTCCTCCCGTGGGGTGCCCGTTCCGCCCGCGGGGCGCGGAGCAGCCGGGGCGGGGCTCGGGGCGCGCTACCTGCGCGGCCGCGGGGCCGGGCGGGGCGCGGCGGCGGCGGCGGCACCATGAGGGTTAACTTGGGCGCGCTCTCCCTCTTCGTGGCCCTGGTGGGACTTTCGAGCTTCATCTTCCTCGTGGTGGCCATCGCCACCGACTTCTGGTACATCATCGATGCCTCCAAGCTGGAGGCGTCCCAGAACGGCACGGACGCGCTCAGCTCGCACTCGGGGCTCTGGCGGACCTGCCGCGGTGAGTGCCCGGGGCAGCGCAGCGCTCCGCATACGGGCTCGGCGTGCGGGGATGCGGGCTCTGTCCGGCTGCGGGGATGCGGGGTCCGGCTGAGGATCAGGCTGCGGGGAGGCAGCTGCAGGGGTCTTGGTTCGGGGTCCATCTACGGGGGTCCGGCTGTGGGGATGCGGGGATGGGGATGCGGGATGGGGATGCGGGATGGGGATGTGGGGTGGGGATCCGGGATGGGGATGCGGGATGGGAATGCGGGATGGGGATGCGGGGATGGGGATCCGGGATGGGGGTGCAGGATGTGGATGCGGGATGGGGATGCAGGATGGGGATGCAGGATGCAGGATGGGGATGCAGGAATGGGAGCCGGGATGAGGATGCAGGATGGGGATGCGGGATGAGGATGCAGGATGGGGATGCGGGGATGGGGATGCGGGGATGGGGATGCGGGGATGGGGATGCGGGATGGGGATGCGGGATGGGGATGCGGGATGGGGATGCGGGGATGGGGATGCGGGGATGGGGATGCGGGATGGGGATGCGGGATGGGGATGCGGGGATGGGGATGCGGGATGGGGAGGCGGGATGGAGATGCAGGATGGGGATGCGGGATGGAGATGCAGGATGGGGATGCGGGATGGGGATGCAGGATGGGGATGCGGGATGGGGATGCAGGATGGGGAGGCGGGATGAGGATGCAGGATACAGGATAGGGATGCGGTGTCCGGCCCGGGGGCAGTGCCCGCTGCCCGCGGAGCTCCGGCTCTCCCTGGTTCAAGGACGGGCGCTCCCCGGCCGTGCCCCGGACCCGTGGGCAGTGCCTTGTCAGTACCGCCCGTGTCACTTGCCCAAGGAGACATGGGGAGAGAGAATTTTCTGCTACTGTAACCTGATTTTACATTAACTTTTAATTCAAGATAATCTAATAAACCTTAACCATTTAGAAGGAAGGAGATGTCTTTTCATTTGGCTCAGGAAATTAAGGGGCGAAAGTTCTGGGTTAAAGCCATTAAAATTATAAATAATAACATATCAAATAAAATATAAACACTATCTAGTTTATTTACATAAACGATACAATTAATTTAAATATAAGTATTATTATGTATCATCCTATAGAATTATTATAAAAATCCTATAGATCAATATATAGGATTTTCCCCATGTCGGTAATTTATTTGCTAGGCATTTAACTTTTGGCTTTGATTGCACTCTAAAAAGCCAGGAGTAAGCAATGCTTGCCCTAGGCAAGAAAGGATGTTTCCAGAGGAGCAGGGAGAAGGAGCAGGTTGCAGGAATTCTCTCTTTGCTGTGCTCTGAGCCCTGCTGCAATGAGCAGATGTTTCCCTGTTAACTCCAGTGGTCAGGCCCCATGGGAGCAGCTGATGCTGCATGCTAAAAATCCTCTCATTTCCTTCCCTACCTAGGAATGGCTGGTTTAGAAGCAGTAGTATTATAATGATTATATGTACATTCAAAAGACCAAATGTATATATAGCAAAATGATATAAGAGTGTAATTTCCCCCCTTTTTCTCCTAGTGAGGAGTGAATGTTACCCTTTGATAAACCCCTTCTGGCACGAGAATGCGAACATCACCGAGTCACACAGACAGCTTTTGTGTGAGTAGCTTTTATATTATTTTACATTTCCATCCATCCTTCCCTCCCTCCCTGGCCACTTACAAGGACTCATTTCTGATTCAGAGGGGGAATTCACTGAGAAAGTGTTTTGACTCTGCTTCTGTACAATATCTGTCACTGTCTGTGATCTTTAAGTGTGTTTACTGTTGAAATAACCATCCATTTGGTGACAAGTTCAGCTAATTTCTTCCACAGGAGCTAAACCTCTGACTGGAATGGCACAGGAAGGTACACAATTGCTAAAGATAAAAGGCAAAAAGTGTTCACAATCACCTCAAGGGAGTCTGATCACTGAAAATGCTTAAGAACACATTTAAACTAATCTTTAACACAGCTACTTTTCTAGCATTTCAGTGGGATTTCTGGCATTGATAAAAGACTTAAGTATGGGAGAATTTAAGAAAATAAATCAATGACCAAAAGCAGTGTTCAAAGTCTTTGAAGAACATCGTGTTCAAAAACATTAGGCTTCTAATATATTTTCCTCTTTTTCTGTAGATTCATTTGTCAATGCCAGAATGTTTTCAAAAAGTCCAAACTGAACATTTTCAAATGCTTACAGGCATCTCCTAGAAGATGATTGACCATCTTTGCATCATATATTTGGCACAATCTTCACACACCCTTGTGTATGGGCTTGCTATTTACAATTTTTTTATTTACTCTCTTCTTCTCCCTGACTCAAATACAAGCATTTGTCCTGTTTCCTAAAATGGAACTCTTGTCCTCAAAACCAGACATTCCATGGGCTCCAGAGGGGCTCCAAGGGTCTTTAGTTTCTTGGAGCAGCATCTGGTGGTGCTGGGGCTGTGTCACAGCTGTCCTGGGAAGCTCCAGTAGGAGTCAGAGCCCAGTGAGCTCCTGAAGCAGCCACACAAACACATCAGCAGGTTCAGGACTGACAGACCAGCATTTAAACACAGCAGCAGGCTCAGGACTGACAGACCAGCATTTAAACACATCAGCAGGCTCAGGACTTACAGCCCAGCATTTAAACACAGCAGCAGGTTCAGGACTGACAGACCAGCATTTAAACACATCAGCAGGTTCAGGACTTACAGACCAGCATTTAAACACAGCAGCAGGCTCAGGACTTACAGACCAGCATTTAAACACATCAGCAGGCTCAGGACTGACAGACCAGCATGTCTCTCTGTGCTTTCAAATAGGAAGGGCCAATTTTCTAATCTTCCATGCTCAAAGCAGAGGGCTGTAGCTGCTCAATGATTCTGAAGTCAGTGGAGGTGATCACTTGAGCCTTTGAGGGGTCAGCATTAACTGAGCCTGCCTGATCATGTTTTATGTGTCAGCACCTCCACTGTTATGTTGGTCCAACATTTTGGGATGAAACCATTTGCTTTTCAAAAGCTGGGTGCACATTTGCAAAAGGTTATTTTTCTCAGGTGAGAGATTGCAGCTCTTCAGTTAAATAGCAAAGCAAACCAAAAAGCAGTGCTCTTTTGGTTATACAAATGATGTTGGCTTGGAAACAAAAGATGGCTCTTTGTGAGTCATGAAGTGTATGAAAATAGTGGATATGAATAAAAATTGTATTAATAATGATGTTTACAGACTCTTTGGGGCCTTGGAGAATTTTTTTCTCTCACTTTCACATCAATTACTATTTTTATGCTCCTGGAAAAACACTTCTGGACTGCAAAGACACTTGCATATTTTATTATAAACAGGCATAGTCTGCCTAAAAGTGTGAGAGAAGAAATCAAAGATACTTCAATTGAAAGAACCTGCTAGGTTTGATTGGAATGCCCTACTGAGATAACTTTTTGATTTTTTTTTGCTCAGCTTCAATGCAGTTTCAGTGTGGTGAGGCCACAGATCCTCAGCAGTAGCAGCTGAACATAGAAAGTACCATGTCAGTACTTCTTTCTCCTAGGAAATACAGATATTTCTAAGTGACATCTAGATTCATCAGGGCCTGAGATAGTACCTTCTACATCAGCTTTACTCTTCTCTCTTAAATGTTTCTGACTGTAGCCACTGAATCATATTTAGGCAGATCATGGCAAACCATCTTCATCTACAACACATTTTGACAAGAATTTTGGAGGGAAATTCTGTGATCATGGATTGTGGTGTAGTTACAGCAGTTTCTTCATCAGCTCTAATATGTGGCAAACAAGCTAATTGCACACTTTAACTGGTTCACAAAAAGGAAATTTTTCTCTCTGTGTGCCTGTGAAGGTGTCTGTGAGGCACAGTCACATGGGATTAATCTCATTCCATCTAGCTGTACACTCATATTTCTCAGTGTTTGATTGGCACTGAATTTCATGTGCTCTGGCAGCATCAAACCTGTTTCTTTCTGATTATTCCTAAAAAGACTTTAAAGGACTGTCTCCTAAAGTAGGCACTCAATTCACACATTGGTCACATCTCTCATTCTCCAGAGTCTGAATGCACTTCCTGGCATGAATGAACTAGACACAAGTGCAAAGAGGCTGGAGAAATTCTGTGTGTGAGTGCAGAGAGCTGGGCCTAAGTGGAAACAGAAGTGCTGGCCACTGCCAGAAGACAAACCCTTCATTAGAGAATGAAAAGCCTCCGTGGACCCTTCCTCCACATTTCCAATATCTCTCCTATTCATCCCAGCAGATTCCTTTTAGCTTATTGTGTACTTCAAATTGAGCTCCTGGCAAATTAAAATAATTGGGTGCCCGAGTTAAAACCCTGTGCTAGCAGCAATATTTCCCAGGCAATCAACCTAGGGCTTGCTGGGCCTGGGACTGTGGTGTATTTTCACCTCACAGGAGTGCTCTTGAGCTGCTCCTCTAAAGGATTGGGCACAAACACAATTCATTCTCCTCTTCATTAGCCTTCCCTTTCTTCTCTTACCACTCCCCCAGCTGAACTGCAGTGTATACCCTCCCTCCCCTGAAACCCACAAAGGATAAATATTTCCCTATTACAGATTACACTATGACCTGGTTATTTGTTTAAAAAATCAGCCACTGTCTAAAGAAAAATACCACTCAGCTCCCTACCACTAACTTTTCTGGAAGTTCTGCATTAATAAAATTATTTTCACTGGAGATGTAAATTTTCCTCTGGCCCAAACAGGAATAAGATGACACTATAATTTTTTGTAATTTAGACAGTTATCAGAGTGTCTTGATGACTACTAGGATTAAAGATAGCCCTCTGAAAATTCCCCTTAGAATTTAAATTTGTCAGCAAAGACACCTCTGTTATTTTGCCTTGCCATGTGTTCTCCTGTGCCAGCCATGGCAGACAAGCAGCAAGAGCAACATTTTTCATGGTGAGCTGAATCTATCTCTCTCTAAATGACAAAATAAGGATGCCACTGACTTCAAAGGCAGCTGCATCGAGCTCTGAGCAGCTTTGCCATTTTCCAGTAGCAGAAATGTAACATCCAAAATCAGATCTAGATATTGAGGATCACACAGAGAATAGAAGGAATGGCAGTGCTTAATCAGCTGAAACATTTTCCCCAAGAGTTTGAGCTTTCAAAAATAATTTCTTAAAAGAAAAGAAAAACCCAAGCAAGAAACCTCAAGTTGTTGCATTGGTGAAAAGTTGCTCTTAGACCTTTTTGTCATATAAATATTTTCCATTTACCAAAGCCTATGTTGTTAATAATAAATAAATGCCAGTACAGATTTAGCTGAAGGCAGCACCAGTGTAATTCTTGCAAAATGAAAAATATTGTAAATATTCCTATTCAAAACCAGACAATTTCTCTTGAATCTCAGCTTTGCACTTGAGCTGCTGCAGGGTCCCACCAGCCCTGCAGAGCTGGGGCTGGAGTTATAAAAAATAATGTGAGAAGAACAGCTGTTCTTTCTTACTGTCTGTGTGACACACAAACCATCTGCATTAGGTACCTACAAGGTAAGATTAAGCCTCTGGCAATCCTGATTTTTTGTCAGAGATTTGAACAACATGGCCAGTGATTGATTTCCTTTTACAGGTCCATTTTTAGTCTCTCCTCTATTCCTGACCCATCCAGAAATGAGTATTTAATGAATGTGGTTTCCACCCATATTGTTTTTCCTGTTCTAAAATCAAGACAGGAGCGTGCAGCTGCCCATGCACAACTGCTTAAAGTATTTTCCCCAGAGAATTTTTATTTTTTCTGTTTGAGACACGAATGTAACTGGAACCATCAGGCTGCACTCAGGTTCGTGCTTCCTGCAGGGAAATGATCTTTGCAGCAGAGGCAGCTCTGATACCTCAGTTGTTTTAATGTAACAGCTGCCTTGGTTTCTTCCTCAACCAAATGGGTTTAATAGCAGAGATAAACTTGTCTGGATTTCCTCACAGCATGTGGACCCTGTAACAGTCATGCACCAGCTGCTTTCACACTTTACCCTGCTCCATATTTACTGAGTTGCAGTTTATAATGCTGGAAAGAATGCTCTTTGCTTTGGCCACTGTGACTTCTTTTCCTGAGGGATTTACAGTTCTTTGCAAATTTTCTTTTGGTTTTAAGCTACCAGAAGGAAACAGCTGGGGCTGGAGCAGGAGCCATTTCAGAGGCCAAGTGAAATGAGACCCAGATGATGCACACAGAAATTCTGGCTTTATTGGTCTGGTAGGTGTGTACCTGTTTCTGAGCAACAGTGCACTGTTCCTTCAGAGAGGGGCCAGAGGACATCTGCTTCAGTACTTACTGCAGATATCACAGTAAATATATACAGAAATCCGAGATAACTGCAGCTGAGGCCTAACCAGTGACAAATTCTGATGAATATTCTCATTTTCAGATTCACTGGTAGCCCAGCAGCAGAATGTGAGCCACGGTGCATTGCTCACATCCATCATTCTGCCCATTCCTGCTACTGCAGGTTTTGTCAGTGCCACCTGCTCCAGCTCTAGCAGCATTTTATTTCTGCTGCCTGCAATTGGTCTTCCTGTTCAGCTCAGAGATTTTTTGAGAAAAGCAAGAAGCCAAAACATGTAACACACAGATCAGAGCCTGGCTAATCATCCTGGAGACCCCTAGCTCTGTGAGCAATCCTCCTCCATCACCTTTTCTCTGTTGAACAGGAGGGAATCCAGCCTTCCTGCCCTGTGGCCCAAGCCAAGAAGACTCACATTTAGCCACAGAAAAGCTCTTTCAGTTGTTCATTGGTTTCCTAAGTTGTTTCCTTGCTTTTTTCCTAGCAAGCAGGTCAGACTTTCTCTGTGCACTTTTTCTTCCTGGCTTTGCCAGGCCTTACTGGAGCAGCCCCGTTGTTTTTAGCAACTGCCATGAGTCTGTTTCAGCTGGAGGCTTTTGTCTTCCTAACTGGCTCTTTGGTTACTGCTGGGTAACACAAACAGGCCCTTAATTAAGCTCTTCTGAGCCACTGCCATTTGGAGTATTTCTGATGAGGTGATATTACAGATTTCTAGGCACTATTTGCTATTATAAGCTGTACAAACAAATCCAAAGTTAGTTTGAAGCAATTAAGCTGCAGGATGTTAACAGGAGATGATTAACAAAACTGCTGGGCTTGCACTTGGTTACTTCTGACCCTCAGTGTTTCTATTTCATTCCACAGATTTCTCTCACAAACAACTCCTCAACAACTGTGTTGGGTGGTAATTTAGAGATGCCTGCCAAATTCTCAGTTCTGGACTCACACTGCAGATGTCCTTCTTACACATATTTGGCCAGAGCTCTAGTAAAAGAGCCTTGGCTGGCTAATGTAAAACTTCAGTAACCATGATTAAGCAATTTGATTCTTTTTGCTTCAAAAGAAGAGAGTGTTTTTTAAAAGTTTATGAGTTTGTTTCAGTATTTCCAAGATTAAGCCATTGTATCTTTCATGTTGGCCTAACAGGGGGCTCAGGTGTTGAGAAATAGATGTGGGAAACTGAATTCTGTTTTACAGGAAAGAGCACATGCCTCTTCTTGTGCAAAATGCTTAGGGTGGTTTTTTTTCCCAATACTAGAGCAATTTCATCAATATGAAGACACTTATATGTTTAATACATAATGCATAAATGTGTATTTCAACAGAAACTGGAAAAGCACTAAAATGACTGCAAAATGAATGTTTTAACTTCTTTCACAGATGATTATTGAAGACAGAAACACAGTAAAGATATTTTAAGTCATTTTCTTCTATAAACTAATTCTGTTCCTCTAATCAAGGAATATAATGGCATAATATTATATGCCAGATGGCATGAATTCAGATTCCTGAGTGGTTTCCATGGCAGCATTTTAGAATAAGTTTCCAAGGCAGTTTCAGATTTCATAGTACAAATGAGTATTAGATATTGAACTAGAACACTGGAGATTATAAAAGTACTATTTAACCAAATAGAATTCACTAAATATTTGATTTCTAAAAAGCTGCCAGTGATTAATGAGGAGTGTGATTCCAGCTGTGGGTAGGAAAAGTAAGGCTCTGTCACAGTGAGGTTTGTGGGTTTCAGCTGAGCTATCCCTAAACCCTATATTTTCACTGAAGAGGGCACAAAAATCAGAGTTATTCTGATATTGCAACTGTCCCAGATGATTAATGTAATCTAGGAAACTCCCAAGGATGCTCTGGTACAGTTTTCCTCTCCCTTTCCTTCACAAAGTTCCATTCAGAGTGTGTTTTCCTCACCCACGTGTCCTGGCTCAGCTTGCAGCAGCTGAAGCCACACCATGACAAGAGAAGTCAAAGAAATGGCAAATCAGTGCTGCTGTCCTGAGGTGGAGTTGGTTGGCAGGGACTTGGACTGCTGAGGAAATCACAGGGCAGAGAGCCAGCCATGAGCTTGGCTATGTTTGTTCTCTCTCAGCAAGGCCAGCTCTGAGGACAGGCTTGCACCATTCTTACATTCATACTTCCCAAATGCTAATTGCATCCTCCAAATGCTTTTTCTCCTTTTACTGCAAGACCAAAGCTACGAGGACACATGGATGTCAGAATGGTGGGGAATAATCAAAAATGAGGCCAAATAACCCTCAGCAAGCTCAGATGTGGCTGAAGAGCACCCTCCTGTTGCTGCTGCCTCTCTGGAATAGGAGAATGGATTTGGGTGCCCAGTCTCTGCTCTGTCACACTGTGTCTCATCACATCCCCAACCATCTCTGACCACATGAAACTCCTGAGCTGAGTTCCATGGCTATTTCTCATCTTGGAGTCCAGCTAAGATTTGCAGGCAGTTTTGACATTCTGCTGAAGAGCTGAAGATTGATCTGGCTGTTAGCACTGAGAATTGTTTTAGATGTTTGTTGGCCAGGAACAGCAGCCATGGCTGGTTTTGCTGAAGGAAGGCCCAGGGAGTGTCCTCAGCTTTAGAATCAGAGGGAAAATGCTCTCTTCACTGCAGAATGTTGAATCCATGCTTTCTGAGCATCAGCTGGTCCTGACGTCAGCATATGGGGCACTGAATATGAAAATATAGTACCAGAAGCAGAAAAAAAACCCCAAAAAACCAAAAAAAAAAGTTACCTCCCAAAACTTTGTCATTTGCCATTTTTTTTTTTGTTTTTTTTGTTAGCATGTTCAGTGCTACACAAAACAATGTCTGGAAAGCACATGCTCCTCAAGTACAAACATCAGCAGTGTCTGCCTTGAGGCCATGCAGACCCTTCCTAACCTTCCAGGCTTCTGGAACTGAACAGAGACATGCACACAATTGTGTCTGATCTTTGTAATGCTGCTGCAGAGGATGAGCTGGATCCTTAGCCAGGGGCAGATGCAGCAGCTCCAACTCCATGGGCAGTCACAGTGACTTGAAAAAATTGATCATTTGATCACACACCAACTGTGAGCTCTTAGGTGATTCCTTTTCCTAAGCTAATGGTGTATTGTTCCCCTGTAAAATTAAATGAGACAATGAGGCCTAGACCTCATCAGAATATGGATTTTACATTTTCTTTTCTCAGATACTCTGCACTTTACTCTCAGATGCTCTGCACTTTACCAACAAATGATACTGGAATTACTTTTTTTTGGGTTATTATTCTAAAATAAGGTTGGGTTGAATGTTGTGGATAGATTACATCAGAGGGAACAATGACACAGTAATGGTTTATGATGGAAAAAACCAGGGTGATATGAAAAAATACATAGCAACCTTCTGTTTACACAGCTATTAAAATGTTATAGGGACCAAGAAAGACTAATGTAAAACATTTAGCATGGGAGGAAGCAAGCAGGATAGGTTAATGCACTTAGTGAAGCTGCTGTAGAAAACTGACAGACAGAATCAGAGCTGGATGGGAAAATTGGAAAATTTCCCTCTAGTTGATGGTCAGCTGCAACAAAGGAAAAGGTCAACAATTTGCTACATCAGTGCAGCAGAGGACACGTGACTTAAAGGAGAGAAACCTTTAATGAAAGCATGGCTGGATCTCACCTCCCACACAGAACAGTGTTTTTCACATAACAGGCCTGCTTTTCATTAGGGTTGCCAGAGCCTACCTGGGATGCATCACCTGATATCAGCTGGCTCAAGGGCTGGGGACAGTTTGATTGCTCCTATGTATCTGTGCAGACATATCCTCTGTAGCTGTGGTCTCTGCTTGAAGCACAGGCTGTGACCCTGGCAGGGTTTGTTCTGCCTGTCACCTTTTCCTCCATACCATATGTTTGTCCTGCTGATTTACACTGAAAACCCAAGGGCTTGTCCAGTTTCTGGTTTGTGCAGCACAGAATGAGGCTTTGATCCTGATCAGGGGCTCTGCACTTAATAATTATTGGTACATGCACTGACACCATAATAAAATATTACAATATTAACATTCTTCATTTTTCTCCAGACATGCATGGAACATTTGTCATCCTGATGCCCCTCAGCCTGATACTGATGATTTTTGGAGGAATGACTGGATTCATCAGTATTCTTGCCAGGGCCTACCTGCTGCTCCTAATGACTGGACTGCTTTTCCTTTTTGGAGGTACTAAATCAAACTCCTGGCCTAACTCTTTAAGATAACAAGAGGGTTGTATCTGGGAAACATCACTTTGTATCCCAGGGAATGAAAGCAAGAATTTGCTTTCAGAATAATGCTGGTGTTCATTCCCCTGGTGTCTGCTGGGGTCCTGGCTCTGGAATGGAGCTACAGAGGAAAGGCAAATATCCCTCCTTGGGGAGTGAGTCACCCTTTGAGCAATCCATGTGTGCTGTGCCCATTAACACTAAAGAGTCAATAACTTCTCAGCATGGGACACAAATCCTTTGCAGGCAGGCTAATGGGGTGATGGAAAAGAGACTGTGGAATTACTAAATCTTAGGGTTGCACAGATTTTGCAGCTGTTAAGAAAACTGATGTTTTTAAGAAGGCATTTGCATTGAATTCCTGAAAAGGCACTTTTTAGGCATTCCTGGCTTAGCCTCACTGCTAGTTTTGGTCTAGACTGGTGTCCCCAAACTGTAGGTCACAAAAGGAAACCCCCAAAAGTTATTTTAGTTGGAGTGTAACATTTCCATTTGAAGCTTTTACACTTCTTTTTATTTTTTCTTTGCTGCTGTATCCAAACCCACTGTGTTTTAGAAAGTAATTTATGAATTAAAAACCCTAAAAATGTTCTGTCAAAGTAGGAAAACTGTGTTTAAATCTGCATCTTCTGTTCCAAACAGATTTTCAGTGCTGTCTCACAATGTAACTTAAACCAGAAATTTTTCCCAACAGAAAAGGGGATCCTCAGAATTGGCTCTCATCAACTGCTCATACAGTCCTATTTTTAAGAAGAAAATGCTGAGAGATTGCTGGAAGCAAATGCTGCTGTCTCAAAGCCTTGACTGAGCTTTTTAGTCTGAAATGCTCTAACACAGACCAACCCTGGCCCATTATGATTGTCTCCTAAAAAGAAGAGCAAGTTCTAATTTCAGAACAGCAGAAAGCTGTATTCACTGAAAAGGCTGGTGGAAAACTGCTCCAGATATTCAGGGAAAGATGAAAGGCTGTGAAGTGACAAGCATGATTATCCCACTGGGGAGTGGAGCAGGGGCCTTTCTGAGCTGTTTGGGGCTGCAAAGAGGGAAAGGAAACACAGAGGCAGTGCCAGGAGAGGGGTGCCTGAGGAGGAGAGTCTGGTGCACTGCCCCAGGAGAACATGAACAGACTCTGGGTGGCCTTTGGCTGAGACCAGCCCCACATCCTGCTCTGGCTGGACACAAAATTCACCTTTGTGAACTTGAGTGTCCTACAGAACAGAACAGTTTTGTAGGACACTCAAATTCACAAAGTTGAGTATTAGTTAGGTAGTTCTGTTTTAGCATAAAGAGCTGTTTGGAGATGCCATTCCAAAAATGTGGGGTTTTTCAGACCCTCAGAACTGATATGTTCCACATGTCAGGACATCCTAGAGGTTTCCCTTTTTTTTTTTTTTCTTTTTTTTTCTCCAAGGGAATTTGCACAGAATTCAATGCACCTTGTTGAAAATCTCAACAAATCAGTCTTTTCCATTTCTGCTGACAAAAGGTATGAAGCAATTTCCCCCCCCCTCCTTGCAGAGGACTAGAATAAGGTAAAGGTATGAGATGATGGTTAAAATCAGGAATATGAGTGTGAATTTGGACTGATGGATAACCCAACATTCTTCTTTCTGTCTTGGCTTGCCTCTAATCAAACATATATTTCTGGCAGAAAGGCAGCTCATCAGGACTTACTGTGATTTAACAGGAAGCTATACCAAAATTTTCTCTCTCAGAATCAAATCCACTATTTGTCCTGAAAGTGTTTCAGTATTTACTTTCCCTGGGCTGCAGTCCTTTTATCCAGGGCCTTTTTACTGCATCTTCTCTGCTGCTGACCCAGTAAAGGGTGATTTCCATCAGAACCTGTCCTTTGACTGACAGGGATGCCAGGCTCAGGATGCAGTGTGTACCTGTTCCAGATGTGCCATTCCCTACATTTGCCATCTTTTGAACAGTCTTTTCATTCTGAAAACACCTGGCTCCTTGTTTGAGTGCCCTTATTAATTCATTTTTGGTCTGTCCCAGAGATGTTTTTTACTCAGGTGTTTGGCAGTGATGGGAGTCATGGCAGCACAACACTTGGTGAGAGGTGATAGTGAAAACCAACAAATTTACATTAAACACTCAAAACTGACAATAGTCAGGGAACAGCCTCAATTCAGTGACCTGAAATGCAAGAATCTGGGTCTCTGTGGGCTTTCTTGCACACAGGGAGACAACTGTCCATGGTGCTCAGCAGTGAGGAATCAGGCCACATCACAATCCAGTTCTGAAAACAGAGCTGCACATGCATTAGATATCTATAAAACACATGTTTATTGAAGGAGGGCTGCTGCCAGATGTTGTGGTTCAATCTTTAACAGTGAGAACACATATTACTCAGTGGACACAGATAATCCTGCCTTTACTTCCCTCTCACCCTCATTGCCCAAGAAACCAACCTCAGCTAGATTTCAAAGATAATCTGTAAACCTGGCCTGGCTAGAATAGGAAGGAGTGGCAAAGAGGCCCTAGGACACATCCAACTGATTGTTTTTAATTTCTTCAGTGGCTGCTAAGTAGCTGAACATGTTTCTCTTTTCAGCTCTCGTTACCCTGACAGGGATCAGTGTCTATATTGCATATTCAGCTGCTGCCTTCCAAGAAGCTGTTTGCCTGCTGAGGAGCAAGGATCTCCTGGTGGAAATCGACATCAGGTTTGGCTGGTCCCTGGCACTGGTCTGGATCTCCTTTGTGGCAGAAGTGCTCACTGGGGCCGTGTTCCTGCTGGCAGCAAGGGTGGTGGGTCTGAAACGGCAGCGGGAGCAGGCTCTGTGAGCAACAGGTGCCTTTGCAGCCACTGAGCCCTGCAGAGCCTGATAACTCAGGTTACTTGGTCCAGCTGCTCACCAGGGGCAATAAGAGTGCAGGGCTGAGGGTCTTGTCAGCTGCTGTGAGCCTGCTTCCTCACGGGTGGCTGTAAAACATGAAGACTCTGGTAAATCAGTAAAACATTCCAGGTGTTGTCAATTAGGAAACTCTTGTGTCCTTAGAAGAGAGTGCATTGCAGTGTTTGTATTTCCAGAATAATTTCAGCTGGCAGCTCATCAGACATCTCCATTTGTTGCTTAGAACAAGGCAGATCTCTTGCTTGCTTTTCTCTTTTCTGTTGTCTCAGCAAAGTGACCTTGCAGGCCAGATTTTGGGTTCTCCTGAGAGCTCTTAGAAGGACGTGGACTTGTTGGAGTGAGTGCAGAGGAGCAGTCAGCCCTTCTGCTCTGGAGATCTCAGAGAGCTGGGGCTGTTCAGCCTGGAGAAGAAAAGGCTCTGGGGAGACCTTAAAGCCTCTCCCAACACCTAAAGGGGCTCCAGGAGAGCTGGGGAGGGAGTTTGGGCAAGGGCCTGGTGGTTGGAACTGATATTTCACCTCCTTCCCAGCCCAAACCATTCCAGGATCCTGCAATCCAGCAGATTGTGGTGGCTGTGATGCTGAAGTTCTCCAGGGCAGTGCAGTGGTGAGTGCACTGCAAGAGAAAGATCCAGCTGTTTTCCAGATGTTCTCACTAACTGCTGGGGACAGCCCCAGTCTCTCCATGCTCAGCCTACATACTTCTCTCCTTCAGCTTATTACTAGCTGCCTTTTCAGCTCTGCAGTGCAGGAGATGTATCTGATGTATTTTTCAGTTTTTACTTTGCAGTTTTGATGATGCTTCTTTTTCATGAAGCTTGTGCACGTGCTTTGTGCTAGAATGTTTATCTTGTGCTCAAACTGCTGAGTAAACTGAACATGCAGGACACATGAATTCCATTTTGGGTGCCAAGCAATCCAGTTTTTCCTCTTCAGTGCCCACTGAAGTTACTGAAGGAATTTCCCCCTGACTACCGTGCTGAATAGAGGCTTGAATGTGATAACAGCTCCACTACATTTCTGTTGGATCATGCATTTCTGGAGGCCCTCAGCACTCTGCAGCTCAGGACTGTGACTCAGGAGCTGTCAGGCACCTTCTGTCACTGGGCAAGTCCCTTGTACATTCTCCAGCAGCACAAAGGGCATCATTCACCTACCTCTGTTAAACACCAGAACAATTTTATCAGTGTGTCCTGTGTTAAAAGATTGCACATTCACTCTGACCAAGCTCAGCTCTAATCTTAGTCCCAAAGTACCAATTGTTTTATGAAAAAATAGTGGCAGGGAGCTCCTGAGAGCTGACAGACTTTGGAGATAGAAGGGAGCATTTTAATGCCATGTTGTGAATGGAGAAACTTGTCCAAGGTCACACAAAACCAGAGTTTCTGAATCCTGGGCTAAGACCTTACTTGTCAGCTCTTGCTTGTAATCAGAATTAAATAAGGCTCAAAATCCTCAATAGACTGAGCAGTAGAAGAAATTCTGTGACTAACTAGTACAATTTTGTAATTCTTAGCTGCTCCCACATTGGTTTCAGGTATTTTCCATGTTGCCTTATGTTGGGACCATGTAATTGAGTCATTTTACAAGTTAAAGCATACCAAATCAGCTCTATAAGAAGTGTAAGAAAAAAAAATCCTTTGTAGTCAAAATTCCATGTGCTTCAGTGAATTATGTAAAATGTAATTCTCTGTTTTGGTGCTGGTGAAACTATTTATAATGCAATTTGTATGATGTTACTCAGACATTACTGCAAGCTGTAACAGTAAAATATCATCTGAGTTATTTTTTGAATATTATTACAGATGTTATTTTAAAGTGGTTTTGAGTGTTGTAAAATTAAATAAAATGACATTTCAGAGTGAGAATTATTTGCTGAGACATGAAAGAACTAAGATATTTATTTTTCTTTACCGTTTTTTGCAGATTTATTCTACTGTTTTTATAATGCTTTTGAAGTTCCTGTGTCAGATGTGGTAGGTATTTAAAAGACATTTACACAGCTACAATATAAAATACTCAAGTGATCAAATCTAATTAGCAAGCCAATGAATCTCTTATTCAATTAGAGCAATTCTCATTTCCATGGCTCTCCTAAATTTCTCATTCTGGCTTCCTGCAATATCTGGCACAATGCTAATAAAGAGTATCTTCTGCTCCTGAATGTTTGCATAACCCCTGAATGTCTCTGAAATTCCTTCTGAATACAAAGAAGAAAAGATGGATTGGAATAGTCAAATTAGCACTGAACATTCTGAAAAATTATACTGGGAAGAGGAAACATTCTAGAAAGGACTTTATGCAATTTGAAAGAAATGACCTTATCAGCTTCTTCCTCTTATTGAAATGAATATTTATTTAATACCATGTCCTTTGCTGTGTTTTCCCCAAAATACTTTACTGAGATGAGGACAGAGGCTGCTCCCATTGCTCTGTGGTGAATTGCAAACTCATTGGTAATTTACCACATCAAAAGTGAAGAAAAACAGATGTGCAGAGTAGAGCAGCACTGTCAGAGTGCCCACAGCTCCTGCCCTGCACCAGGCACTCCTTTCACTTCTTGAGGGGTGGCAGAGAATGACAGGGGAGGTCAGAAGAATCCTTGAATGTGAAACACGTGGAAATATACAGGAAGTTTAGAGGCCATGCTGGTGAATGACACCACAAAGGTTCAGTGTGTCTGTGCTGTGCCCACAGAGCATCTGTGTCCCCACCTCTGATGGCCAGGGGACAGCGCTGCTTTGGGCACAGCTGCAGCCAAAGGAGCCCCAGGGATTTGTTATCCACAGCCAATGATTCCTGTGGGGCTGGCAGGTGCCTGTCACAGTCCCACCCTCCTCAGCTGGACAGGGGACACAAAATCTGCTGAGTCTGGGACAAGAAAAGGGCAGGGAGAGGTCACTTGCCAATTACTGTCATGGGCAAAACAGACTCAGCTTGAGGAAATTAGTTTAATTTATTAGCAATCAGAGTAGGAGAATGAGAAATAAGCTTAAATCTTAAAAACACCTTCTACCCATCCCTCCCTTCCTTCCAGGCTTAATTTTACTCCTCAATTCTCTCTCCTGTCCCCTGAATGGCACAGTGGGACAGAGAATGGGGGTTCAGTCTGCTCATCACACATTGCTTGTGAAGCATCTTCCTCCTCAGGCAGTGGACTCCTCACACTCTGCCCTGTTCCAGCATGGGGGCCCTCCCAAAGGGTCTTCCATGAACTCCTGCAATGTTCTTCCCCTGGGGTGCAGTTCTTCACCAACTGCTCCAGGGTGAGGCCCTTCCAGAGGCTGCAGTCCTTCAGGTACACCCTGCTCCAGCCTGGGCTCCCTGCTGGGTCACAAACCCTGCCAGGGCCCTGCTCCAGCCTGGGCTCCTCTCTCTGGGGGTCCTGCCAGGACCCTGCTCCAGCCTGGGCTCCTCTCTCTGTGGCTCCTGCCAGGACCCTGCTCCAGCCTGGGCCCCTCTCTCTGTGGGTCCTGCCAGGACCCTGCTCCAGCCTGGGCCCCTCTCTGTGGGTCCTGCCAGGACCCAGCTCCAGCCTGGGCCCCTCTCTCGGTGGGTCCTGACAGGACCCTGCTCCAGCCTGGGCCCCTCTCTGTGGGTCCTGCCAGGGCCCTGCTCCAGCCTGGGCTCCTCTCTCTGTGGGTCCTGCCAGGACCCTGCTCCAGCCTGGGCTCCTCTCTCTGTGGGTCCTGCCCAGGAGATCCCAGCCCCTCTGGCCATGCACCCTCTCCAGTGTGGGGTCCTGCACAGCCCCAGGTTCATCTCTGCATCCCAGAGCTCCTCCCTGGGCACAGCCAGGCAATCTCAGCCCTGTCCCTGAGCCCCTCCTGCCCTGCCCTGGGCTCTGCAGAGCTGCTCCTCTCACAGCTCTCACTGCCTGTTCAGGCTGCAATTTGTCCTTGCACAGCTGCTCTTGCCCCATCCCAAATCTGCCATCCCAGAGGTGCTGCCCTGCCCTGCCCTGGCCACTGGTGGCTCTGTCCTGGAGCCCCTGGCCCTGGCTCTGTTCTGCAAATGAAATTCAATGGTCTCAACTATTTAAAGTGGAAAAACAAAACCTGAAGAAATCTGAGCCTGCTTCCTAAATAAAGATGTCCTTTTCTCTGGTTCCTTTTGTGAATTCCTTGCAGTGAAGCAGTGCCTAGTTAGCCAAGATATATCAATAAAAAACCCCCATGTCCCCATGCCTCCTGTCAGTCCCATATTAACAGACTTGTGTCCCATCTCAGGACGAAAAATATTAGAATAAATGCTCTGGTTTTGTGTTAGAGAGTCAAACTCCCCCCAAATTTGATATAAGTGTGCTCAAGAGAGATTCCCTGGTGCTTCTAAGTGGGCACTGCTGTTAGCCAAGAAACTATGAGCACACAGGAATTTGGCTGGGTGTTCTTAAATGCCAGCTAAAACTACTGGGAAGGCCAGGCTCTGCCCAGAGTTTGAGCTATCCTTGGTTTAGGTCATGGGTCTTTAATTACTGGATTGTTGTTCTAGTTGAATTGCAAAAATTGCATCTTTTTCCTGTTACTAAAGCATTGTAGTGCTGTTTTACTGCAGTAGCTTCCTCTGCTTTGCACATCAGCTCTAACCCTAATGAAGCCCTCAAACTTTGCCCTCCCTTTTTGCCAGTGTTTGCAGCAGCCCTGTCCCTGTCATACCCAATTTTGGATGCTCACAGTTTATCCTGAGGGGTCAATCCCACTTGGTACTGGCACAAGTCACCATGGATGCTCTCAGCTGAGAGACTCCACGAAAAAAGAAAAAACCTTTTCTTTTTGGGGAGGTTTGCACAGAAGCAGTGGTCTGTGCTGACATCTCATGGCTGCTCTGAGAACTCGGCTCTCTTTGGGAAGAATCTGTTCATTGCTGTGCCTGCAGCACTTGCAGGACAGCCAGACAAGCCCATGGGTTTGTGAAAGGCTGTGGGGCTTCA